TTGGTCGGAAGACTTAAAAGAACGCACCTAGTCCGGAGTCTGTAGTATGTATAATGATTTCTAGAGTCGGATCGTGGTACTCTCCACGTCTAGACAGATTTACCTATTCTATATCATGTATCGTTCTTTTCACTATCACAACTTCCAACCTCCAGCCTATTTATTTTAAACTACTCCAGGTGCGTTATTTTGAGCGGATTTAGGTCTATTCACACACTCAACTGGATCCCTTATCCCAGCTCTACATTATACTCCAAGTGTTGATTTAATTTGACCCCTTTGGTCCACAATATTTTTCATATAGGTCCTATTAGAGTCTCCCTTTTGCCCCGAAAGATCACTACCACTATATATGTACTATTTTAGTCATTATTTTTCACGAGTTGCCTTACGCGTTTGATAGCACGTATTTACTATTCTCGCTGAGCGGGTTCCCAAAGCCTGGATTCTCGAGCTAGAAGAGGGACTACTTACTCAGTTTGGCCTATGTACCATGTCTATGCTTAATCCCGTGAACTAGAAGACAACTGTTTCGGGTCCTGGCCTCATCCCTCGAGTGGAATTCTGGCTCACTTCTTCTCGCGCTTCTACACATAATGCCAAATATATAAATTTTCCTATTTTATAGTCCCTTGTGGGTCAAACCAAAAAGGTTGTAGTTATAAACTTCGTTTGGTCAGGCTCACTGAAGACGTCTTCTCTGGATTTCCAATCGGTCCTTGAGTGTTTTTCCTTGCGATTCCTTTTTTTCGTGTTCAAAATACTTATTTGATCTGGTCAACATTTTGCTTATCCTACTGCTTCCTGATCTCCATGTTTGCCTAATCAATATTCAATGTTTTCTCTAATTTTACCCTCATTAAATTTCCTCTCAATTAGATTTCCTTCAGGATATCTATGGCCTTTCGAATCCTTTTATTAATACTCGTTGATGATATAAAGTGAGATATCGATGTATGACATATGAAATTAATTTGAAATTAGTTATTCAAATATTTTGAAGATACTTTTGAAGGAGATAGTGATATGTCATTTTAAACAGCCCAATACAATTTTGGCTTAGCATGAATAAGATGAATAGTATGAATTAAACTTCACTTTTTGCTCTGCCAGGTAAGACTGCTCATGTTTACATCTATGACGAAGCACATGGAATTGGAGTCATTTGGCTAGCTATAATTCACTATAAAGAGACCTCTATCTCACAAATTTCACTTTATTTCTCCGAATACCACTTTCTTTGTCAGATTTATTGTCGGATAATATATCTCAAAATGATGACTGACCATTATTATAATATTTAATCTTTCTTAATAATCCATGGATTGGAGAAGCACTCCATTCTTTGATATATACATAGTATTCCAGCTATATTACTTAAGGGATCTGCCATCTCACTTAATCCTGACTCTCTCTTCTGTCTTGCTATAAGTTCGGCACACTTGTAACCTCGAATGTTAGACGCCTTGGTATCCTGGATCTTTCTGATGCATTTAAATAACTGAGGGCTAATGCTTATATATCAAATTAAAAAGACAACCCTGATGGACCGCCTGCGGTAGATATTTATTTTATAATAGGAACCGTTTTTTTCTATTTATGCATTGTATAAAGATACTGGCGTACCTTTATTTCGTTTGAGAAGGCGGGTCGAAGGGATTCGTAGAATGGCCGCGCCCGATATTCCATGAGAGTTGCCTTGGACTTTTGTCTGTTGACTTGTGCAAAGAAGACCTCGGCTCACTCTCTTACGACCCCGATGACTCCGTGCTGAGCTTTCGTCAGAAACCATTATTCACGAAAAATAACTAAAAACACTAAACAGAATAAGGTCATGGCGATTTATTAAGTAATGAGCTGCAATGGAATTGGTTTTTTGGTTGTTCTTCTAGTCACAACGGGAAAACTATCCCACTACTCACATAACTTCATCAAAAAATTATCCTAGATTCTAGATAAGCTATTGCACGTACTTATGAGTTTGTATCACACGATTTACTGTATTTTTTTATCCATATTTAATCATTTACACTGTAAAATCTGCCTGCTTTTAGGCTGAATTTAATTTTTCATATTATAGCTTGTTAAGCCCTTATGCCAGTTATCTTATCCTCGGACGAATCTACTGAATATGCTATTCGTTTTGCCATAACTTTTAGTTTGATTCATCTAGTGTATGTTTCGATTATGTGCCAGTAGATCTAATACGGACACTGTCAAGCCTCTTATATTTTATTCTCATTTAGATGTCTCTCAACTACACTGTCTCTTGCTGGCGGCTTCCCGTCTTTTTGCATCTGCAAGCCTCCTTATTGGCGAGATGCAAACAACACACTTGCATCGTTCTAGCGGAAGCTACGTTGGCACCGGCTCTCTCCAGGCTTCGTTCTCTATCGAAATCCTCGAGATTTTGCAGCTAGCCTGCTCACCAACTTGTGCTCAGCGCCTGGTGCACCAACTGACGATCCTTCTGGCTTGCCCGATGGTAGAGATACCAGATAATCAGCCGAAGCACCTATCAGAGGCAGCTCTGCCGGGGCTGGTTGAAGGGAAACTGGTATGCCAATCAGACGGGTTCTGCGAGCCGATATGCGAATACCAGGAGACCTCTATTGATCTTAAGGTTTGGAGATTTTAGAGTTGTACTGAGAATTAGTAACAATTTTTCGTTCAAGGAAGTAGATGAAAGAGCTTGGGAAGAATTAACAAAGCATGTAGTTAGTTGTGTATATGGGCGGATTTGAGGTTCAATTATCTCTGATAATATTTTTATGGGTTTTTCATTTTGTGTGAAAGGGCCTCTTAAAGTGGGTATTGAGTTGATCTCACCGAAAGGTGTCCCGTTTTTCTCTTACCCTGCAGTCATCTGATTTTTATATTATGTTTATTTTAATATATTCCACTAATCCTCTTTCTTCGGTGTATGTGAAAACAGGCTGGGGTTCATTCTTAAATATATCTTAAAGCTTTCGTCAAAGGAATAAGACTCACTGACTCATGCTATATGCACCTACAACATATGGGCTTTTGAAAATATGAAGACCAAGATGGTGTGACCTCTGCTATGGTCGCAGTCTCCTTTCGATTTATAGAAGTGAGTTGACCTCGTTGTCACAACTTGGTCTTGTTGTCAGGGCGATTTAGTAGAACGCACCTAGTCCGAAGTAGTCTGCCATACTAGTTGTCATAATTCGCATCATTAGACAGTGGACTTGCTACATTCTTAAAGGTTTCGCAGGCATCGTAGTCGGCATCATCAGTGAGTTTTGCCATTCTCCACACCAAGCTACGAACTCGTCATAGAGACAAGTGAAGTCAATTCCTCAAAAAGCTTTCTGCCGAAACCGCTTACACTATTGGAGGAAGGTAGAGTTAGTGATAACTTTGCCTACTGCTTAAGCAAACTCAGGGAAATCAAGAATATATCAAGACCAGCAAGAAGGCGACGCCTGGATAAAGGGACTATCGCTAACCGGAGGAAAAGGGATCGCAGTGAGGAAAATGGGTGCGGGGATTTTCGGCAATCAAGCGAAGACGTTGCCAGTAGCTGATGTCCATTTCGAATAAAACAGTACAACTTTGGAGGCCCGGCAATCATGGAGCTGGGCAGACGGATTAGCAAACCGTCACAGAAATTCGGCGTTATGCTCAAAATGTGCTAGAAATCCACTTGAGATGCCGTATGCGACCAAGGATAGGCGTCCACAGTCTGCTCAGGTAACATGGGTTTAATCAAGCAGACGACTCGCGAAGGGAATGCCTGATATCTGCAAGCAGAGCCTAGGCGCTCTGCTCAGTGAAGCGGCTGTGTACGTGCTTCTATGGCCTTGAGAAATAGTGTCTGGAGGGAAATGCACACTAGAACTGGAACCGAGTGAAATTATTCAACCAGAAAGATAAGGAATGGATCTGCGGGACCATGAGGGGATCCGGATTGTAGGCTAGAGTCGGATTAGCTGATCGAAAGAGAAGTGGTTGGGGTGAATAGCAAGTGTAATGAGGTCACACTAGATTTGCCACAAAAGGACACACATTTTGACGAATAGAATGTAAACAAGTGAGAAGTTGTGATTGGGCGGGAGTTGGATAAGAGGGTAAAGAGTAGATAGGCCAGGACAGAAAGAGGAGTGATAGTGTACACGTTTTCGGCGGAACGTTTATCTAGGGATTGACTTCACTTATCTCTTTGACGTGTTCGTAGCTTGGTGCGGAGAATGGCAGCACTCACTGATGATTCTGACTACAATGCCGGCGAAACGTTTGAGAATGTACTAAATCCACTGTCTGATGCTGGGAATTATGACAACTACTATGGCAGACGACTTCGGACTAGGTGCTTCTTACTAAGTCGCCCTGACAACAAGACCAAGTTGCAACAACGAGGTCAATCCACCTCTATAAGGACTTTTGTTTCCGATATCATGCGGCTGCGTGCATGTGCATAAATCAGGGTAAGAAATCATCAATTATAGCTAAGTCACTCCAACATAATGTATTGTCGAACCAGGGTTATGTGTGTTTAATGATTGTGTAATCCTAAACGTACGAATTAATGAATTTAACAAATGGGTTCGACGAATGTGACTATACTGTTGTGGCGAATTTAATTTTGTGTGAATGTGCCTGATAAAGAAAGTCGTAATTCGATCACACCAAGCGATGACGGCTGATTCTAGTTGCTCTTCAGTCGTTTTATTTTATGGCGATATTCGAAATCCACAAGATCCTTATTTCCCGTGGAAACGAGCTTGGACTTTCCTCTGAGCTGTATCTCATTCATACATAGGCTTTTACTTAATATTCAAAGGAGAAAATTGAAGGGCTCTCTATTGTATAAGGAACCCAAAATATATCAATATACGCAGATGGATATAATAATGTCTATCACATGATAGTATAGAGTTGCTCCCGTTTTCACACGAACCAAAGGACGATGCCCTGTGACTTCATTAACCTGAACGTAATACTAAACTTGAAATGAAAATCAGCTGTCTTATGAAATCTACCAGCGTACTTCAGACACTAACACGCGAAATGCAAGTAACCCCAACACTATTATGTTGGAAGATTTTTCGAAGCCGATTTATTCCTTCATATAGAATCTGAATAAAGTTAAAATAATCACGACCGCACAAAAGGCCACACCATCTTGGTCTTCATATCTTAGAATAATCA